AGAATTGTAGTCTAAAGAGCAACTTTTCTGAGCCCTCCCATAAAGCACACGCTGCAGGCCTTTGCTTTGTAAAATATTCCTAGCATGTTTTCTCTTAGATCTCTTAAAGGAGAATCGATTGCAGAGATTTAAACTGGGTTTTAAAAAATAATAATATAAAAATCTGGGAGCGGCCCTAGAATGCACTTGAGAGAGCACACATACAGACACAGTGGTGCTCATCACATGGGACAAATGGCCAGACTCACTCTTCTTTAGCCATCTGTTTCTGCCCAGCCTCTGCATGCTTGTAATGTCCAAGCACATGTCTGTACCGCCCACAACGAGCCCAGCAATCCTGCCAATCCACTTTCCAAAGAGCTCCAGATGGCATTTGCAGCAGTCTGGTTCCTTCTAACACCAATGTGAGATGTTTAGCAGGCATAACAAATCATCCAGAGCTCAAATAAACAAGCAGGAGAACTGGGGGAGTCAACCCTGATATTCCTATACCATTTGAAATGGTACTACAGGTGCTGAAGATCCTTGTAACCATGGTTTCACATACAACAGCAAAAATTGTTTTTATCTCCCAACAGAAGGACTACAAGGAGGACACCAATCTCACCTCCCTAGGAAGAGAATATCAGAGCCTATAGGCAGAGACACTGAACCCTATCTCACAGAGGACCCTTCATCAAATTAATGCGACATGTCCATAATTAGCAAGCTTTGACATAGTGAGTCTGCAGAATCCAACTCATCCAAAAATGAAGCATTCACTGTATCTGGTACTCCAGGAATGGGAAGATACCTAGTCCTTCAACAATCATGACAGTTTGTAACTTCTAGGTCAGGAAAGTGATGAATCCACTCAAGCATTAGTTCAAGCATTAAAGAAGCTGTCCAGAGTGCTGAACAAATTTGGGGCCAAAGTGTTCAGCATCATGGAAAGCAGCTTTCAAGTCCAGACTCAAACCCCGAGTGGGTTCATAGCAGCTACAAAGCACCACTTTCATTGTGCTGCATTCTTTCTGGCCCCCGACCCTTTGAGAGCTAGAAACAAATGCCAGTTTTGTTTCATTTTTGTCTTTTTCAACCAGAGTTTACCAAAATTCACCACCTCTTTTTGTTGAGGATGGACAGAATGTGAGATTTATTTATGTATTTATTTTAAAACTAGCCATCCCCTGCCACACATTGCTGTGGCCCAGTCTGTGTATATGTGTTTTTTGTGTGTATATGTGTGTGTGTACATATTTGTGTATATATGTGGTTTTGCGCATGCACTGTAATGTAATTTTTGGTTGTGGGCTTTTTAAGTCTCTTCTGCTGTGTTTTTCAGTGTTTTATGAGAGCTGGTCACTCAGAAAAAAGGGGAATTACAGACAGGAAACAATCAGGGCCAACTAACACCTCCCAACAAAGGATTCCCAGGCAGGAAGCAGCCAGACTTTGAAGCTACAAGGCTAAACAATGCTAATCAAGGTGCATTGAACATTCATACTTGCTTCAAACAGACAAGAGTTCTTTCTCCCACCCTGGACATTCCACAGGCAGACCAACCATCCTCCCCACACATTTGGAGGGTGAGGCCAAGCGGGAGGGAGGGAGGGAGGGAGGGAGGGAGGGAGGGAGGGAGGGAAGGAAGGAGGGAGGGAAGGAAGGAAGGAAGGAAGGAAGGAAGGAAGGAAGGAAGGAAGGAAGGAAGGAAGGAAGGAAGGGAAGGAGTGAGAAGAAGGAAGCCTCTTTTCCACCCGCCTCTGAGGACGAGCCCCCTTTCCCACGGGGGAACAAGGGAGGGAAGCTCAAGCCACTGCGCAGGAGGCGTGCATCCTGCCCTGAAGCAGCATTACTAGGTTTCTCCAAAGCAGGCATCCTCAAGTTGTGGCCCTCCAGCTCCGAGAATTCCTGAGCATTGAACCAGCTGGATAGTGCTTCTTGGAGTTGGAGTCCCAAACTACTAGAGGGCCACAGCTTGAGGACGCCTGCCCCAAAGACTTTACAGGAGACTCAAATCAGGCATGGGCAAACTTCAACACAAAACACCTGCAGGGCTGAAGTATGCCCATGCCTAATATATATTGCACACACATACATATGTTATGTACATCCCCAGGTTACAAACAATATAGGTTCTGGGTTGTTGTGAGTTTTCCTGGCTCTATGGCCATGTGCCAGAAGCATTCTAACCTGACATTTCAACCACATCTATGGCAGAGTTGTGAGGTTTGTTGGAGACTAGGAAAGTGGGGTTTATATATCTGTGGAATGTCCATGGTGGGAGAAGGAACTCTTGTCTGTTTCAAGCAAGTGTGAATGTTGCAATTGACCACCTTGATTAGCATTGAACAATCTTGCAGTGTCAAAGCCTGGCTGCTTCCTGCCTGGAGGAATCCTTTGTTGGGAGGTGTTAGCTGGCCCTGATTGTTTCCTGTCTGGAAGTCCCCTGTTTTTGTGTATTCCTCTTTATTTACTGTCCTGATTTTAGAGTTTTTAAGTACTGGGAGCCAGATTTTGTTTTATTTTCATGGTTCCTCCTGTTTAGTTGACAAACATTTTAAAAAGGCTGGATGAATGAAAGGCATTTGTTAATGTTTTAGAATGTTGTTTGTGGCAGAGGAAGAGCATATGGGAGAATCTGATCCAGTTGAGTGTTTATTCATAGAGGAAAGGCTTCGTCTTTTAAGAGTTCCTGGGGAAGAACAGATTAAAGGCCTCTACGGATTCCCAAAGGGTTCCAGGGAACAGCTTCACAGCCCTGAGGACCTCCGGAGGGAATAACAGCTCTTCATCTTCAGCTAAGTGATTTCAAGCCTGCTGGTACGTTTGTTTGGTTCTGAGACGCAGTTCAGCCGGTAGCAGACTCAAACCAGTCAGGTTTAAGTTCACAGCAGCCTGGGAGGAGCTTTAAAGGGGAATTTTTCTGTTAAACAAAGTTTCTTGAAGATAGTGCTTGTTTCTTGTAAACAAGGCTGCAAGACCCAATAGACTATTTAGAAATCTTACAATTCCTGCTTGTTCATTAATAAAGACTGTTGTATTTAAGTTCAAGTCTCCTAAAGCCTGCTTAATAGGGAAAGTTCCTCTAAAGGTTCTTTCTCGGGCCCCCGGGCTTCCCGCTGGACGCAAGCCTTGCATCCTCTCTTAGAAGCATTTAATTTCAGCTCCAGTGGAGACAGAACAGTAAGCCATAACACAACTCAACTTTTTTTAAAAAAATGAGGACATATGCACCACTTTTGAGGCAACTTTTAATGGCAGGTTTAATTTTCAATCAAAATTGTGAAATTATTTTTAGAAGATAATTTTATTAACCTT